TATTGTATGTGAAGATGTGTAGAATTTTCAGTGTAAGTAGGAGGCTTTGCTATTCCTTGAAATGTAATAGTTATATTACACAAAGTCCTGGCTTAATATCTTCTTACAGTCATTCTTCCTCATGTAAATATCACATTGGTGTGTCTTTGGATTGTGGTAGGCCATTTGATTACAAAAATTACTACTTGAAGGGACAGAGACATGGCTCAGTGCATAACAACACTTGCTGCCCTTATAAGTTCAGTTCCCAGCACCCACACAGTGGCTTTCAACTTCCAGATTATCTGGCACCTTCTTGTGGCTTCCAACAGTACCAGGTATTCATGTATACATTCAGGTAAAACACTCTTACACATAAAAATAAAATAAGCAAATAATTTTCAAAAATCACTGAGTTTGCTGACTTGAGTTTCAGTGTTTAAAAAAATCATTAAATGAATTTGGGTTTGGGATTAGGACAAAATTTCAACATTTTGGAAATGGTCTTAGGCAAGTTTCTACTATTTTGCACTACATATTTATGCCAAATGACATTTTCAGTATTCACAATCAAAAATCAAAATTATCGGTCAACTCTGAAAAAAATTGAAGATATTGTGTCCTGTAGTATCACATATTTGGCTAAGACTTAGTTCTTTATTTTTAAATAACCAAGCTGGTCTATCATCAGTATGTAAATTTATTTTTATCTTCAATAATTGTAGACCCAAGAGAATTGTTTCAAAATAAATTTCTTTATAATTTGTCAGTATGTGTTTCCCATTTTATAGATCTATATTTCTTGGATGCAAAGGGGTCAAAATTGGGAAAAGTTTAAGAAGCCCTGTTCTAGGCTGTTGCCTGGACCAATAAATATTTATCTTAGACTTCATGATAAAATTATCTCCTCTTGTACTGGTTGTGGCAACTCTTGTCTATAGGCCAGTCTGGGCAGCATAGTAAGAGCCTGCCTCAAAAAAACAAACAAAAAAAAACAACCAAAAACAAAAAAAAACAACAAAATAAACAAATAAATCTCCATAGAGAAGAGCTGAATTCAGAAATGTAGGCTAATTGGTTCAAGGCACAAGCTATGATTTTGGGGTGACTCTAGCACAGACCCCTCTGGTCCCTCCTGGACTGTATTAACTCCCACTGGGCTCTGGCATCTAGACCGTGTGCTTACTTCTCTACCACCTCCGTGCTGTGTGTGGGACACGTGACCTTAGGCAGGAGAGCAATAGGAAGAACAGAAGAAGACAAGGAAGTGATCCACTCTCCACTCTGCCCCCCCCCGCTCTGCTGATACCCGGACTGATACCTGAGGTCGTTGAACAGGAGGAGAATGACAAGGGCAGTCATGCATTGTCTCCACTTTCAGTTTAGACAATGAGAAAATTCAGGGTCACATTCATAAATAACATGGATCTCGATATCTAATCCTCATGATATTTTGGGAGTTGGGATGAACATCACAAATTAGAATGTTTGCTAAAAGGTGTCTAGAACTGAATTTCTCCTTGGAATCTTAAGCTGTGTGAGAGGAGAGGGAAAAAATATGGGGAACTGAACACATTCCAGTCACTGGGAGGAATGATGCTTATCAGAAATTCTCTGCCATCCAACGGAGGCTCAGAAGGAACCGTGAGAGGAGGCTGATTATGGTCTTCATTGGCCCTGCAGAGTGTCAGCGTAGGATCCATGTGTCAGCATCTGTCAGAAAACACTCTGCTCCACGCCAGTCCCCACTTCCCTTTCTGCCTTCTCTTCTTGGGTTTCTTAGTAAGAAACCTAAAATAAACTCCTTTGATTTTACTTCTATTAGTTGCCCTTCCTCTACCAATAGGAAGTGGGTGATAAGACAAAAATAGACGCTAACTAACATTTGAAGTCCTTGTTAGGCAGTAAAGCTCTTTTAAATGGTTCCTCCCAGACTAATTCACTGTAAGTCTACATAATTCCATGGAAGACTTTCTTTCAGAAAACACTGGGAGTTTATTAAATCTTTATTTACCTTCAATTTGTTGCAGTCTCCGAATCAACAACTGAGTGGCTATGCCAAGAAAAAGCATCTATTGATGGCAGTCTGAAATATTCTGTGAGGTTTTTTTAAGATTCATTTATTTTATGTATGCAAGTGATTTATCTGCATGTACACCTGCACACCAGAAGAAGGCATCTTATCTCGCTACAGATGGCTGTGATCCACCATGTGGTAGCTGGGAATTGAACTCAGGACTTTTGGAAAAGCAGCCAGTGCTCTTAACCTCTGAGCCATCTCTCCAGCCCTCTGTGGGTTTTCTTATGCAAGTGTTCTTAACAATGACTGCCGTGGAATACGTGTTCTTTTTATATTTGGGTATTACACATATGGCTCATTACTCAGAACTCATTTTTATTTGGTTCCCTTTTTACTGAAGTAAAAATTCTTGTTTGTTAAGCCTAGGTGGCCTTTCAGATAGATACATCTGCTCCCCCTCTCACCAGAACCTGATGATACAAATGAACTCGGACACGTAAGGAAGCGTACCCACTTGAAGAGGAAGATTAAAGCAGGCACCTGAAAAATCCGAAATGAATTTTAAAAAGGAGCCAACGATCTGGTGAAAACCACATTGACCACAAAGAAGACACAGTTGAGATTAGATAGCAGTCCTGGAATCGTGAGTTCCCTCCCACAACTGGAGGAAGACTTCCTTAGTTACGTTTCACCTGAATCCCTGCCTGAGGGCGCAGCGCCACGCCCAGTGTGTGGTGGGAGAAGTGTGTGTCTGCTTCCTCGGCAGCTTCCCGCCAGAGGCTGTCCTGCCTCCCCGGGTGTACAAACCCACTCACGTCTCAGGCAAACATTCTTAAACTAAAGCAACTTACTAAGCGTCTTTGCTAATGAACTTTGATCACTCCGGGTTCTCTTACATTCATTGTTTTGTCTGTGTGCTTCCAGAGAGTAACAGCACTTTAGGAATCACTGTTAAATCTACAGTTTCTTCAGCTATGGCCACAAAATAGTAACTGCTAGCTGTATGTTACATAACTCCTGGTCACAATGCTTGAAAGAAAGTTCAGAATAGAGTGGATGTGTGAATCAATGCAGGGAACACATCCAAATCCTCAGGATATTTCTTTCAGCCACAGTTAGCTTTACTCCAGGTGAAAATGTTAGTGTTTTAAAATTCTGTCCCTTGAGAAAGTGACATCTGTGATTAGGGTCTCTCCTTTTGAAATGTATGAAGCAACAAATTTTCCTTTTATTGAAACACGGATTTATTCTAAAAGTTGGGCCCCATTTTCAAATGTGAAAGTACACATTCTTCTTCCCGAGTCATGCCTCGCCTAGCCAAGGGTATTTCAGACATCTAGTATGCGCCGAGAGACTCTAAGATAAATAAAGCTGGACCCCTAGCTCTGGACTGAGAGTGTCATGGGGCTTTACAGAGCTATTGCCTCCACCTGCCAAAAATCAAGTGTCTTGGGGGCATTTGAAATACCAAGTCACTTTATCATAAAATGTGGAGTAACTATCTGAGCAGAGATTTTTTGTTTGTTTTTAACTGACAACCCAGAACCCGGGGGGTCAGGGTATGCATGTGCCTTAGAAATATCCTTTCTTAGCTGGGCGTTGGCGGCGCATGCCTTTAATCCCAGCACTCGGGAGGCAGAGGCAGGCGAATCTCTGTGAGTTCGAGACCAGCCTGGACTACCAAGCGAGTTCCAGGACAGCCTCCAAAGCCACAGAGAAACCCTGTCTCAAAAAACGAAAAAAAAAAATCCTTTCTTGGATTATCCTGATAGGATAGAGGGAGTCATTATTTATCGAGAAACCTGGCACCAGGGAAATTCCCAGGAGTCCACAAGGATGACCCCAGATAAAACTCTAAGCAATAGTGGAGAGGGTGTCTGAGCTGGCCTTCCCCAGTAATCAGATTGAGGACTATCTTAATTGTCATCATAGAACCTACATCCAATATCTGATGGAAGCAGAGGCACATATCCACAGCTAACCACTGGTTCAAACTCCTAGAGTCCAGTAGAAGAGAAAGAGAAGTGATAATATGAGCAAAGGGGTTAAGACCAGGTTGGGAAACCCACAGAGACAACTGACTCTAGCCAGTGGGGGCTCTGTGACTACAGACTGACAGAGGGAAAACCTGTACAGGACCAAACTAGATCCCCTGAATGCAGCTGACAGAGGGTGGCTTGGGCAGTTTGTGGGGCCACTGGCACTGGGACCAGGATTTATCCCTAGTGCATGAACTGGCTTTTTGGAGCCCATTTCCTATGGAGAGAGACTTTGCTCAGTCTAGACACAGTGGGAAGAGCCTTGGTCCTGCCTCAGTGTGGTGATGGGACAGACTTTGTTGACTCCTCGTGGCAGGCCTTACCCTCTCTGAGGAGCAAAAGGTGAGAGGAAGGTGAGGGGAGCAGGAGGAGGGGAGAGAGGGGGGAACTGGAATTAATATGGAAAAAGAAAAGCTTTACTACCACAAAAAAGAAGGAATATCCTTTCTTCGTTCCCAACATTTTTTTTCTTCCAGGTTAGTGCTTGTCTACATGTGCTCATGGAAACAGAAGATACTGGGAAAGCAAGGAGAGAGACATATCATGCCACAGTTGTCCATCATTGTTCCACCTGAGACACTCTGTCAAGATGCCCACAACTTTCAGATCTCTGTGCTCTCCAGTTTCTCAATAGTCACAAGACTCACAGAAGGTGTCAGATAGGGATGTAAGGATGGGGGAGGGAGGAAGAGGGACAGAGAGAGTGTTTAGCAGTGACTACAGGATGCTTATCAATATTCAGAGTCTGGAGTCCAGGAAGAAGTTCAGTCAGGCTGCTGGGCCACACTGAGATCATTTCTGTATGAGATGGACTCTGCACCCATTGTTCTCATACCATATTAAAGAAAAGCAGTTGACCACAGCTGAAACACAGCTTGATCCATTCTGTCAGAGCATAGAAAATCAAAGACAGTTTAGGTTGAGATGGTAAATGAAGGAACAAATGACCAGTCACCAGTTACCTCGCTGAAGAAGACTGGGGGTGAAGAAGACTTACACAGCTGATTATCACCTTCCTGCTGGGCCCAGCAAGCTGAGTCTCTCAAGGTGTCCGGAGATCTGCGACCTGCATGTGTGAAACTACTTCTCTCTGTGAGTCACACCCATTGCAACACCAAGTGGTGACTAAGCCTCTCCTCAGTGGATGGAGGGCGGAGGGAGGAGAGACTGTAGGTCACAGGTTTCCAAAGGAATCAGCAGGGCTTTTTTTTTTTTTATTAAATGTAACTGGAGAAACATCTTCCACTCTCTTGACCCTGACACCACGTACAAAGAAGCACCTTATAAATGGTCTGGTATAGTGCCTTCTTAGCGCAGTAGGCATAAATGGTCTGGTATATTGAATGAATCATTTCCCCCTTATCTTTCTTTTTTTTTTAAACAGTCTTCAGCAAGAAGTTCAACAACATAATAAATGTTAAGGAAGCATGGCTTGGGAATAATTTGTGGTTCCTAACCTGTGTTTTAAGGTGTGACAAAACATCTTGACAGGGTCTCTGGAAGTGAAAATGGGAAAGAATTGCCCCTCCCACCCCTCGCTGACCTTTTCCAGTGCTTCTCCCAGCAGACCTGGCTTCTCCCTGTGCCAGCTGGGCCAGTAATGGTGGGGGATGAGATGCCACCCCCTTCCCCCCCCCTTGCCGGCTTGCCAAACCTCCCCTTGCATTGTACAGCCAGGCAAAGGGGCCCAGCAGTTTTAATTTAATTTCATGCTGCATTCCTCCAACTTCCTCTGTTCCGTCTTGAAAAGTAGTTATTGTGCACTTAGAGCGAGAGAATGAAGGAGCCCAGCTCTCTAATGGAATCTAGACATTGCCTTTTTGAATTAAATGGGTGGGGCTCCTTCTCCACAACAACAACAAATGTATCCAGGTAAATATTTGGGGTACCCAGCGTATGCACATACACTCTTCTTCTTTAGTGATCCATAAGACAGAGGAAAGGCATCAGTGTGCAGCCTGAGAGAAACACATCCTGGGCTGAAACCATAGGAAGAAAGCTATGGTGATTAATCCTCCTCACAAGCAGGCTATTACATCTGGAAGGTGGAGGGCCCTCGAGCACCTGGGTGGTCCTGAAGGACTGAAGGGAAAGGGCAACGGAAAGGTTATACCTTAGTAAGCCTCACTCAACAATCTTGCTTCAGTGCAGCTCTGTTTAAAAAAAAATTCCCCAAATAGACTTTAAAAAAAATTAAATGTCAAGATCAATTTGCATGCTGTGGCTGAGAATTCTTTCCATCTTCTTGGCACGCCTCTCAGTGCCGATGGATTAAATTGAAGAGTTCAGTGTCAGTGCCCCCGGCATGTGGGGTGGGTGTAGGGCGGAGTCAGGACCCCCCCCCCAGCCTTGCCTTGTTGATAAAGGTGTCCATCAGTGGGATCGTGTGTCAGCAGCACGAAATCACAGCCACATTCAAAGTCACATGCTGAGCTCTGCTCTGTTTTCACTCTGTCCCTTTAGAATGTAACCTGTGAGGGCCAGTAGGATGGCTGGCAGGGCGAAAGACACGACAACGTGAGGGCCAGCATGGAGACGTGTCAAACGTGACAGCCTGAGTCAGATATCCAGGGCCCACAGAGTAGAAGGGAATTGAATCCTGAAAGTTGTCCTCTGGACACATGTGTGTTGTGGTGTGTGTGTATTTGGGGACATACATGTACACACACACACACACACACACACACACACTAAATAAAGAAAGAAACATTTTTTTTTCAAAGTTAAGGAATGTAACCTTTGAAAATACCACTTTGTCCAGAATTCTCCTTGCATCAGATCTAAGGTCATCAAAGGTGACATACATGTAACATGTAAGTGACATTTGATTTTACTTCTAGTTCCTTGTTTAACAGGTGATGGTGTGGTTGGGTGCAGGCAGATTTCTGTGAGTTCGAGGCCAGCCTGGTCTACAGAGTGAGTTCCAGGACAGGCTCCAAAGTAATACGGGGAAATCCTGTCTTGAAAAACCAAAAAAAAAAAAAAAAAAAAAAAAGTTATGTTTCTGGTTGGGTCATAGGGTTGTAGCTATATAGGTGTATGCTCAGACACCCATGTGGACAGCACACTAAACACCCAACTCACCCTTTCTTCTAATCTGTATGTCTTCCATATACCTATCTGTTTTTTGCTTTGTTTTGTTTTTTTCGAGACAGGGTTTCTCCTTTTTGTTTTGGAGGCTGTCCTGGAACTCGCTTTGTAGACCAGGCTGGCCTCGAACTCACAGAGATCTGCCTGCCTCTGCCTCCCGAGTGCTGGGATTAAAGGTGTGCGCCACCACCGCCCGGCCCATATACCTATCTGCCCAAGAGTGTCTTCTCCAACTGTCTTTTCCCAAACACCATGTGACTCCGCAGGGTCCCAGCTTTCCCGGCCAACATCTGTTAGACTTCTTGGACCTGTGCTGACATGAGGGAATCTTTGGTCCAACCATAGAGAAATGTCCAGCAGGCTGTGGTGGCTCCAGTTCTGGGGATGTCTGCTATGGCTCCCCTAAGGCTGGCTGGCAGGGCAACACCAGCTGGTGACACGCATGATGCTGCCCTTCTCCTTCCTGGTGGGATCAGGCAGGGCTACGTACAGGCCACTCTCTGAATATCTCTGAATGGCTTCATGACTTCCAGTATGCAAAAACAGACCTTGTATTTTCTTCCTCCTCCCTGTGTCTACAGATGCCTACTTTCTCTACAAAGGGCACCTGTCTCTTAGTCCCCCTTTATGCACCAACATGACCTTTGTTTATGAGAAACCTGAGTACCAAGGCTGGACTCAAACTAGGAGCTCTGTTCTCATTTCTTTTTCCTGACTCTTCCAGGTGTAAGATGAAGCTGGGCTGATCCTTTGTTCCCCTGCAATGGTGAGAGACCAAGTTGTTGCAACATTCAGGGAATTCTTTGAAGAAAGATTTTTTGTATTTTTAGAGCGCACATCCTTTTAGCTACAGACAAGAGGTCTGGCTTGAACAAGTAGGGTGAGGAAGATTACATGGGGCAACCATTGCCCAGGAAAAAGATGGGTGATAGTGGAAGTAATGACTGACTGGAAAGAGTAGGGCTTCCTAGCAATAGAGAGGCTTGTGAGAAACAAAAGGACAGAGGCTTAATAAGAAAAGTGTGACTCTTAGGAGGAGAGGAGGAGGGGACTCCTTCCAGTGTAACCACTGTAGTAAGAAAGCATCCCTGGAAGTATCCACGTCACCTGCTGACCTGAAGAAGACCCTGAGGGGTACATCCTGCCCTGGGAAGGAAGGAGTGATTCCATCTTAGGGAACTGGGGGCATGCCAGCATTACTGAGCTCCCCTGGTTTTACTGCCCTTAAATCATGTCTTAGTCCAATCACAGTACTGCCCAACTACCACTTCTCCCCTAGCCCAGCATAAAAACACACAAGGTTCCCTGCTCTTGAGGGTCTACATTTCTGAAGGCCTCCATGTCACATAAAACTTACATTAACCTTGTTAACCTACTTAAAAAAAATAGGGACACCAACCACAATCCTAGGAATACTGAAGTTGTCAATGAAACCAAGAAATAGGTGGCATTGTTTTTTCAAAAAACATTTATTTATTTGTTTTATATATGTGAGTGACCTGTCTTCAGGCACACCACAAAAGGGAATTCCATTACAGATGTTTGTGAGCCACCATGTGGTTGTCTGTTAAGAGAAGCTTTTTCCTTGCTAGCCGCTTTGGTTTATCCCCTGCCAGTCACCTGGGCTCTGCCGCGCCAGCCTGGTTCTAGAGCCGCATCAGTCCCAAATAAACACACAGGAGGCTATATTCATTATGAAGCTGTTGGCCTTGCTTGTCTCTTACTGGCTAGCTCTGCTTTAAGTAATTACCCCATAATTGTTAATCTAAGTATGTCTCTTACCGGAGAATAGTTCCGGGGTCCTACCTCATGGCGTTACATCTCGACCTCTTGTGTTTCCCATTCCCAGAATCCTCCTCGACTCCTAGTCCCTCCTATCTAGGTTTTCTATTGGCCAGGCAGTAGTTTATTGACAAATGCACAGGCAAATAACAGGACTTCCCCAACAGTTGTCAAGATTTGAACTCAGAACCTCTGGAAGAGCAGTCAGTACCCTTAACCACTGAGTCCAGTCTTTCCAGTCCAGATGACATTGTTCATAGACATTTTGTTGGTGGGTTGCAGATAAGGAGGAAGAACCTGCAGTGAAGGAGATCTGGCCTGGTTTAAGTTGATTCAAGGTGAGTCTGGGCTATGTCATAAGACCTATTACACACACACACACACACACACACACACACACACACACACATGACAGCAAGAACAAATGGTTGTGGTGTACTTACCACACAGACTTGCGTGGCCAAATCCTGTCATTGAACATTTGGATGGTTTCTAACTTATCTTTACTATGAATAAGACTTTGAAAAACATCAATGAGTGAAAGTTCTTATACACATTCAGTTGTTTCTTTACACCAATGTCTAAAGGTTGGACCACTGAAGCATGTTGACATGGTTGAAGAATGTGTTACCCTGTTGATAACTGCACAACCCTGAGTATGTCCATACTCTTGGATACAGTCCCTCCTTCCCACATAGACTGTCTCTGGCTGTGCCATTTGTTCTGGAAAGCGAGACATTAGTGAGCACAGCCCTAGAGAAGAGTACACGAGTCCTCCCTCAAGAATGCTGTCACCACATTCCAGGTTGGCTTGCTGGTGACCTGGGGCATAATCAGTAGCCAGTCCCAAACTAGCATTGAGCACGTCAGACCATCAGGTCCTAAGTGGATACCATACAACCACAACACCTGTGTAACTCCATGGACAGTCCCATGGAAACTAACTGAGTTTCATCCCACAGAATTGTCTGGTGTCAGGGCTCAGAACACAGTATTCCCAAACACAGGGCACTGGCATACTGAGTGCCTAAATCTGAAGGAAACTCAAGATATCACAGACAAGAGGTCTCAGGCTGGTCCTCTCCCACTTTTTCCCCTGACGCTGACTGGAAAAAGAATTCTTTGACCTAGTTTCCTGTAAGCAGATCTCAAGATCCTCATTCCAGAGGATGTGCTGTCCTCTGCCCACAGGCCGAGTAGAACCTTGAGGAACAGCCTTGCTAC